AAAAATCCTACAAACCAATCGGCAATATACCCGTTAGGATCACACAACCATTCGAAACTTTTCGGATTTCAAGGATTCCCTTTACTCGCGTCCCCGCTTGAACTATCGATGAGTTTACAGCTTGGACTTGTCAACCCAAGTTTAAACCCAAGTTCTATTGCTTATTGTGTGGTTTTACGTCGATATTATCGTACACCTTGCCGACAGAAAAGTCTTATAATTGCTGCGTTGAAGTTGTTTTCTACATTTAGCACTAGTCATGGAGTGCGGCCAACGATAGTTGTTGGCTCGAAGGTTGAATCACAAATGTCTCGACAAACGCACTGTTTTCGTTCTAAAAAGTAACAGCAGTGATGACCTGCTTCCCTGCCACCTCCTTGGTGTCAGAAGCTCCCACTTAAGAAAAAAATTTTGAATTTGAGTACGAGTTGCCCCGAATAAATNCACAAGTAAGAAAATCCAGTACTTTACCTCAGTACTTGACTTTACTTCGAAAATTTAAAAAACTTAGGAGGCCCTGTTTTTATTCAGGGCGACGCTATGACCACTCGCACTCGCCCGCCCGAGCCGAGAAGCTAGCAACCGCAGCATCCAAATTTCGACATAGAAATTCAACAGTTAAATTAAATAGCTAGTATTGATGGAAACAAGGGAAGAAATTTCAATAAACTGGTAGTGAGCGTATGAATGAACGCATCTTCATGAAATGTCTTCAGGTCTGCCTAACAAGGTAGATTCTTTGGCTTTTATACATAAAAGCTACAAATCAAAGCCTTCCAAATGCAGCTTGAATATGGTTGACTTCATATTCCAATTTTGAATTTCCCTCAACAACGGGAAGACTCACTCCAAGGGTTTCCTCGTCCGTGGCTGAACCGTCTACGATGGCCGCAACATCGAAGAGACTTGATGCGCAAAACTGGAACGTTGTGTCCAAATATTCAAAGAAAATCTCCCGTGATTTGAGTGACATCAAGTCAGGGAAAACCATTTGTGTGTCTCCACTACGGATGGAAATCAATACAAAACAGATATCTCACGTTTGGTTAGCAAGTTTGACCAAAGCACTCCCATTCCGAATATCGGACATCCCTATGTGAGACTGGAGTATTCCCGAGAGCCATGCTAATAGACTGTCTTTTACTACTTCATCCATTTTAGTTTTCCGTTATTATTAACAGTTGAAATAAGGTTGGAAGCCCAGGATACGAAAAATCGTGAATTCACGTTCAAAAAACAACCATTCGTCACACGCGCGCCTTGCAACGGTTTGTTACAAAGTCAACTGAGTTGGCATGTTATAACAATCCAATGACCAATGTACAATTCACAGGCGGAAGAAGCTCCTTGGCTTGTAGATTTGC